GGGACCGAGCATTCTGTGGGAACCAGTTAGCCATCAACAAGTCCCTAGTAAGGACAACTATGGAGGCAGCTATAGGGAGCCTGAGCCTGTCTTATGAAACAAAGCCATGGAGCAGTACTCATAAACAAGCATGATGAGGTTTTGTCATCTATAAATAATTTTCACGTTGTTGACGTTGTTGAAAGGATTCCAGCTATGACTCTTTTCTGGCATGAGAAGCTTTGGGTGAACACCAGCCATGGGATGACCTACTGATGGACCTTCTCAAAGTACTCTTTGGAAGCTGTTGGACTTGGCTTGATCTGAAAATTAAAATTAAATTGGGTAAGAGAAACATCATGATAGTAGTCTCAACAGTGAGCTCAGAGCTCCAGAAACTAAAATTTCTTCACTTTTGAAGATTAGCCTATTTTTTTCAAAACATATAGATGAAAGCTAACTAGCAGCCTGTGTAGGAACTGTCCACCTCACTGTCACCTACCCACATGCAGCCAGCACCTCTGTTGGCTCCCTTGATAGATTATTCTCGAGGCAGAGAAGACTTGGAATTGGGGCCTGGTGCTCTGAGGAAAACAACATACCGTAGGGGACTCTGGTGTCCAGTTGGCAGGACAGACTTCTCCATGGGTCTCCACAAACTGGAACGCCTTTACCAAACGTAGGGTTTCTTCCACACTGCGGCCCACCGGGAGGTCGTTGACACTCAGATGCTTGATGACACCATTAGGGTCAATAATGAAGAGGCCTCTGCACAGAATTTATCCTCATCAGTGCTAACAGAACTAGGGCCAACAACTCTCATTTCTATCCTTTTATGTCTTTGATTCTCTTTTAGTAAATTCATTAGGCTGTCAAATGCTTAAAAATGGGAGATTAGGGACTGAAGAGACTGCTTAGCAATTAATAGCTTAGACTATCGATCCAGAGGACCTGAGTTCAGTTTGAAGAACCCATGTAGGGCAGCACACAACTGCCTGGAACTCCTGCTCCAGGGGACCTGACATCCTCTTATAGCCTCCAACCAAGAGCAAGTTTACCAGCATGCACATACTTCTACGCAGTCACATATACATAAGTAAAATTAAACCTTAAAAAGAGAAACTAGAGCCGGGCGGTGGTGGCAGCGCACGCCTTTAATCCCAGCACTTGGGAGGCAGAGCCAGGCGGATCTTTGTGAGTTCGAGGCCAGCCTGGGCTACCAAGTGAGTTCCAGGAAAGGCGCAAAGCTACATAGAGAAACCCTGTCTCAAAAAACAAAAAAAAAAAAAAAAAGAGAAACTAGTGCTGGAAAGATGGCTCAGAGGTTAAGAACACTGGCTACTTTTCCAGAGGTTCTGAGTTCAATTCCCAGCAACTAGATGGTGGCTCACAACTATCTATAATGAGATCTGGTACCCTCTTCTAGTGTGCAGGCATACATGCAGACAGAACACTGTATATATAATAAATAAATAAATCTTTAAAAAAAAAAGAAAAGAAAAACCAACCTGGAATTAGTATTATACAAAAAGTGTGTCACCTTTTAGTAATGACAGATGCTTTGATAATGTCAGGCTACCATGTACAGCATATGTTATGGAACATTGCAAAACTGTACCCACAATGTGATGCATCTAAAAGGAACGAACTAGAAACAATAAAGACTTTTATTCAGTGACCTAGCAGACATTCTTTAGACTCCTGTATCAGACTCTGGTAAGGTAACCACATATATGTAAGAAGAAGAGATTACGTTATCTACATCCAGTGAATATTTAAAACTTTCCCTTTTGATTTATTTGTGTGTGTTGTGTATGCATGCATGCAAATACCTATGGAGTCCAGAAGAAGGTGTTGGATTCCCCGGAGTAGGAGTTATAAGTGGCTGTAAGTGGTGCAATGTGGGCCCTGAAATCGAACTCTGTCTTCTGCAATAGCAGTAAGTATCCATAACTGCTGAGTCATTTTTCCAGCACCTCACAATTTCTTTTCTTTTTTCCCTCCCCCTAATGAGACAAGGCCTCTCTACACAGTCCTAACACTCACTAGTTAGACCAGGCTGGCCTAGAACTCACAGAGATCTGCTTTTCTCTGCTTCCGTAGTGCTGGGTTTAAAGGCGTATACCACCATATCCAGCTTCAAAATCCCTCTTAAAGGGATACAGGGACTTCAGTTGTCAACTACATAGGGAAAGGGCAAAGTACAGAGGGGCTTCTTCTTCTCCTGTCTGAATCCAGGCTTTGGGCCTGATCGTATTCTTCTTGTGCCTGATCTCTGAGGGACCCAGCTGCAGTCCCTAGAAAGTAGTAGAGGCAGACCTAGGAAGGAACAGAGCCCACAGACTCTAGAATCTAGAGAGAAGACTAACTTGTCAGCTCTACTCAGCTTTCTGTTAGCCCCAGAAAGAAACTAGTAATAGTCACTACAAAATTAGAAGATCCAGTGTGGTAGTTTGAATGTAATTGGTCCCCCATAAATTCACTGGGACTGGCACTATTAGGAGGCGTGGCTTGTTGGAATAGGTATGGACTTTTTGGAGGAAGTGTGTTACTGTGGGGGTGGGCTTTGAGGTCTGATATATGCTTAAGTCACACCCAGGATCTCAGTTCACTTCTGTGTTCAAGAAGATAAACAGATTAAAAAATGGAATAAAGGGAGAGGGTGACATCAGGGCAAGATCCCACCCAGCTAAGTTTCCAACTTGTGAAAAGGAATTAAAGAAAAGCTTAGTGCTGGGTATGGTGGTGCACACCTTCCCAGTACTCCAGAGGCAGAGGCTGGTGGATCTCTGAGTTTGGGGCCAGCCTAGTCTACAGATCCAGTTTCAGGACAGCCAAACTTAGACAGTGAAGGAAACCACCAAAACCAGAAAGCTGGTAAAGATGTAATTGAATGAGGGGGCTATGTTCCAGCAGCAGAACTTGGAAGCTTTGGCCATGGGATTCCAGCTTTAAGGATAGAAGAAGGGTTATGAAATCTGCCTCCATGACTAAGAAAAGCCGCCGAGGCCAGGCATATGTCAGGGTTGTCCCTGAATGGAGGCCTAGTAGACCATTGCATAAAGCTGTGAAGTTGAAGCCTGGACTGTCTTGGAGACCCCAGGTTGTTAGAGATGCCAGAGCTATATGGTATACCTGCCCAGGAACGGGGAGTGCAACTAGCCCAAGAAAAAGAAGTGTGCTGCAATCAACAAAGCTGAAAGGAGTTGGAGATCTGAAGAATGCTTTGACATCAGACATGGAGATGCAGAGTTTGGAGATTGTCCAGCTAGGTTTTGGTCTTGCTTTGGTCCAGTATTTCCTCACCATGTTCCCTTCCCTATGTTTTGAAATGGTAACGAATATTTTGTGCTATTTTATGTTGGAAGTATGTGATCTGTCTTTTGATTTTATAGGGGATTACAGTTTAAGAGACTGCATGAATCTCACTAGAGACTTTGAACTTCGGACTTTTAAACATTGTTGAGATTGTGATAGACTATGGGGACTTTTGAAGTTGGACTAAATGCATTTTGCATTATATTGCTACAAACTTATGGGGGCCAGGGAATGGAATGTGATAGTTTGAATGTAATTGGCCTCTATAAGCTCATTGGGAATGGCACTATTAGGAGGTAGGTGTAGCTTTGTTAGAGTAGGTATGTCCTTGTTGGAGGAAGTATGTCACTGTGGGGGTGGTCTCTGAGGTCTCATATATGTTCAAGCCACATCCAGTGTCTCAGTTCACTTTCTGTTGCCTGCAGATCAAAGATGTAGAATTCTTAGCTCCTTCTCCAGTACCATGTCTGCCTGCATGCTGCCATGTCCCATCATGATGATAATGGACTGAACCTCTGAACTGTAAGCCACCCAATTAAATGTTTTCTTTTATAAGAGTTGCCATGGCTATGATGTCTCTTCATAGCAACAGAAACCCTAACTAAGACATACTGGAAGGAAGCATAACAGACTACACTTTCTCCTGCCACTGCTAACTATGGAGGAGCTTGGCTTTGGTTTACTAAGGAAAACAGTAATCTTGAAGTCAACAAGGCTGAGTTCCAAAAGGCTGCCAGCACTGAGTTTCAAGATGAGTTGGGTTCAATTAACAGCCAGCCTCCAATGCAACTGGGTGGCATCCCAAGGTGTAGCTCTTTTCTTCTTCATGAAGTTAGTTCCTGGGTCCCGCCTTCACTCCCGTTCTCGGAGACATCAAGATGACAGCTAAAGCCTGTGTTCTCATGAAGGAACACTCAAGAAGGTAGCATGTGAACATGGGACTGTTTAAGACAGAACTTTTCCCAGTCCCATCGAATGAAAGAACATAGAAAGCACAGGCTACAACTCCCTGGAGCTATTCCCTAAACTACCTACCTCATCAGGTTATTCCTGTACACCTACTGGAGACTCACCTTCATTTAATCTATGAGAAAAGTGAGACACAAAAAGGCAAATAACTTGCCCCAAATCATACAGCCTAAGAAGTCAAGTTTAAAAAGAAATCAAACCCTGTCTTGTTTGATTCCAAGGCTTATACAACACCATCTCCACTGAGAGAGAAAGAGAGACAGACAGTCAGACCTTCTAAAAGCCTTTCTCCCAAACAGTTCAATAGCTTCAGTGCCAGGAATAGCCATTACTGAAGGGCTTCTGGACTGTTAAAGAGAATGGATCAATGGGACGATCAAGACACTGGCATTCTTTCCTAAAAGAAGACCCAGGTAGTGGACTGAGCACACATCTTGGCCATTTCTGAAGACTTGCAACCCTCATAGAAGCTATTTCATCAGTGCCTAAGTAAAAAAAAAAAGGGGGGGGGGCTTCTTCAGGGGGCAGGGAGGTAGCTCAAAAGCTAAGAGCAATTGTTACTCTTACAGAGGACTTAGGTTAGATTCCCAACATCCATATGGTAGCTAACAACCATTTATAACTCTAGTTCCAGGGGATATGACCTCCAAGGGGAATGCTTGCACATGGTGTATGGACATACATGCAGACAAAACACATCCATACATATAAAATAAAATAAATTTGGGATGTCTATTCTTGGATGTCAACCTGACTATATTTGGATTTAACTAAAACCCAAATGACTAGGCACACCTGTGAGGGATTTTTTTTTCCCTTCTTTTCCAGACAGATTTCTGTGCTCTGGCTGTCCAGTACTTTACTCTGTAGACCAGGCTGGCCTCAAACTCAGAGATCCACCCACCTCTGCCTCCAAAGTGCTGGGATTAAAGGTGTGCCCCAACACCACTGAGCAATTTTTCCTAATTAAATCATTTGAAGTGGGAAGACTCACTTCTAATTCAGATCCTTGAAGTGGGAAGATACACCTTTAATCTGGACCACACCTTCTGCTGGCAGCCTATATAAAGGACATGAAAGAAGGAAGCTTGCTCTCTCTTTGCCTGCTTGCTCTCACTCTTGATAGCAAGTCAATTCCTTCACTGGCATTAGAGCCACTTCTTGAAGATTCTGGATTATACTGAAGACCAGCTGAGACATCCAATCTCATGGACTGAACTACTACTGGATTCTTAGACCTTTCATTAGTAGACAGCCATTGTTAGACTAGTTATAGACCACAGCCTATAGAACATTCTAATAAATCCCCTGTATATAAATAAATAGCATACACACACACACACACACACACACACACACACACACACACACACACACAAACTGTAAGTTCTGAACTCTAATACAAAATAATCTAAATTAAAGAAAAAAAAAGCTTCTGCTTCTGACAACATTTTACCATCCAGGTATAGGTGGAACCAAAATAAATGCAAATTAAAGGATAGCGTGGGGCTATATATCCATACCCTGTCTCAAAAAATCAAAACCACCAACAAAAAAAAAAAAACAAACCTGTATTCCTTCCTGAGAGTTTTACTGAAACTGACAAGCATTTCCTAGAATCTTTATAAATCCTCAAGAATTAAGATGACACTAAAATATGCAAAACCATCCCATCTCTAAGGAGCAGCTCTTACCTGAGTGCAATGCCAGCACCTTCCAACAGCACTCCGTAGTCTCGGGAAATTTGCTTAGTTAAATCCGACAACAGTGTAATGTTCATGTGGCCCAAACCACCACTCTAATAAAAAGGCAAACAGGACTGGTTTTCAGGTGGTTCTACAAGGTCTGAACCATATACCAATGTTTAAAACTAACAATGATGGTGGTTAAGTAATAGTAAATGCACATAAGAGAGTTCCGTTTAACTTCCTCCTGCAAACTGCCTAAAGTAGATACAATTATATATGCCATTATATATATTTTTTTTTTAATTTATTTTTATTTTATGTGTCTGGAGTATTTTACCTGCATACCACGAGCATGAAGTGCCTGAAGAGGCCAGGAGAGGGCATCAGATACCCTGGAACTGAAGTTAAAACATGTTGTGAGCTGCCATATGGATGTTGGGAACTGAACCTGGGTCCTCTTGAAGAACAGCAGTGTTCTTAACTGATGACCCATTTCTCCAGTTCCTATTATTTTCTTGTATTGATGTGTATGTGTGTGGGGAGGATGTGCATGTGTGGAAGTGAGGACAACTTTGTGGAGTTGCTCTCTCCTTCCACTTTATGTGAGTTCCAATGATAGAATTCAGCTTGTCAGGTTTGCTCAGCAAGTACTTTACCTGCAGAATCACCTCAATGGCCCATCTCCATTATTTTAATGATGAGGAAACTGAAGCTCAAAAAACTAAGTACTTTTTTTCTTCAGGACACTGCTATAGTGTCCGATTGACCTTTATCTTTTTGAGACAGAGTCTCACGTAGCCAGACTGGCCTCCAATTTACTATGTAGCCAATAATGACCTTGAACTTTTGATCTTCCTGCCTTTACCTTTGGAATTCTGGGATCATAGGCTATGCTAACCCACCTAGTTTATGTGGTACTGGGGACTGAACCCAAGGCTTCTTGGCATATTAAGTAAAAGCTCTAAGCACACCCTGCTCTCTTTTTCCAATTGTTAAATCAGTTGTTGAGATGAAAACTAGTTTCTCAAATATAAAAATAAAGGAGTGACAAATTACTCAAGTCACTGTTGTTAGTCCTGGATCATACCTAGTAAAATTTTGATTGTTTTTCCTAGCAGATTTCTAGACAACATCACACAGAACATTATAGCAAGCTACTATGGGTTCAAAGTACAGGCCTAAGGAGGCAACAGAGCTAGCCATGTTCCCTGTCTTACTCAGCCTATCTCCATTACTATTTGAACCTTGGAAAATATACATGGAATGAGCAATAGAGATAATACAATGTCCAGGGAGTTGTTACTACAACAGTTTATAGACTGCTAATAGGCAAGGATCTACAAACGGCCTACTTCAGGAGGATATGGCTCACCTGGTACAGAGCTTATCTAGCATACATGAAGCCCTGGATTTGATCCCCAGGAAGACATAAACCAGGTTCTGATCCTAGCACTTGGAAGTGGAGGCTGCAGAATTAGAAGCTCAATGTCATCTGAGCTAATACATCCAGTTAAGAGGCCAGCCTGAAATACATGAGACACTGTTTTTGAAAGGAAGAAAGGGGGGAAGGAAGGCAGGTAGGCAAGAAACTCACTTCAGACTGGCTATGCTCTGACAATCTCTAGGCTTTCTCTTAAATCTCTTATGTTAGTACAGGGGTCAGGGGTAGTTGGGGATAGAGGAAGAGACACTGGTCAATGATTATTTAGATAAGAGGAATAAGTTCTGCTCTTCTGTACAATAGGTGATATAGTTAGAACATATTGTATTTTTTAAACTAGCTAAAAGAAGATTTTTGTTTTGATTTTTTGAGACAGGGTCTCACCATGTGGTTCTGGCTGCCCTGGAACTCACTAGGTAGACCATGTTAGTTTAAAACTCACAAAGATCCCCCTGCCTCTGCAGGAGTGCTGGGATTAAAGGTATGAACCACCCTGCCCAGCTAAAAAAGGATTTTGAATGTCATGACCACAAAGAAATGATTGAGGAAACAGTACTGAAAAGCCTGATTTGATCCTTGCACAATGTATACATTTATCAAAACATCACACTGTATCCCATAAATATATACAATGTTTTTATTGTGTGGTCTGTATTATTTGTGATTTAGAAATGAAACCAAAGAAGAATAAAATAAAACAAAGAAAAGGTGACTGTCAACCAACCTACCTTCCTTGGTGTATTGATCCAGGCAAGATGGCTAAAGTGGGAATCCACTGAAACTGCAACCACTTCACAGTTTACATCATGAAATTCGTTGGCTTTGTCACTGAAAGCAACGATTTCTGTAGGACACACAAATGTACTTGGGGAAAAAAGAAAGTTTCATCAGATCACGCAAAGACAAAAATTTAAGACATAAACATTAAGTTGACTAAAAACTAAATTGATTTGCTTAAGGGGTGAAAAAAGTGAAATGGGCTGGGTTGGGGGCACATACCTTTAATCCCAGAACTCAGAAGGTAGAGGCAGGAGAGTATTTGTTCAGCATGGTCTACACATAGAGACCATGCCACCGCCTCTCCTGACCCCCCCAAAAAAGCAAGCTTCCTTCTTTCTAGTTTCTGGGCATGGTGTTATGTACTTTTAATCCAAGCACTAGGGAGGCAGAGGCAGGCTGATCTCTGTGAGTTTGAGGCCAGCCTGGTCTACAGTGAGTTCCAAGACAGCCATGGCTATGGAGAGATACCCTGCCTCAATCAGTCAATCAATCAATCAATCTGCAAGGGATTGGGGAGGCATACTTTGAAGACTTAAAAAGAAAACCTGTACTTAAATAAAGCAGCTTTATGAACTCATTTCTTATACTACTTTCTCATTTTTCCAACCAGACTGGTATAAAGTTTAAACTGGTTTAGAGAACCATTAGTCAAAAGCATGTAATACAGAACTGTATTAAAAGTTGAGAGTATAATTCAGTGATGAAGTGCTTGCCTAGCATGCCCAAGGCCTGGGGTTTGATTCCTAGGACCACCAGAAAAACAAACAGAACCATATTAAAACTCCTCCATTCGAGTCGGGCAGTGGTGGCTCACACCTTTAATCCCAGCATTCGGGAGGCAGAGGCAGGCAGATCTCTGTGTTTGAGGCCAGCTTGGTCTACAGAGCAAGATCCAGGACAGGCACCAAAAAATTACACAGAGAAACCCTGTCTCGAAAAACAAAAACAGAACAAAACAAAAAAACCCTCCATTAGAAGTAAGGTCATTTCTCCCATTAAGTTCATCACATGAACTATAGATAGTCAAGGTCAGTGAACAAAAATCAGAAAGAATCTTCCTCTTCACTAGAAGAGGAATTTCAGCATGGGTTAGAAAACAACACCAGCTCTTAGTAGGACATGAAAGCATTATAGAATCATACTTACAAATCCAAAGGGTAGAAGAAAAGCACCAAGTATTTCCCTTTAAAATCTTCGAGACTCAGCTCTTTGAACTCTCCATTGACAACAGCTGTACCCTTAAAATAGGGTGCATGCTGTGTGACAGCAGGGGTGTGAAATGTGGAACCTAAAAGAGACCACACCCTTGTATGTAGCTTGTCATTCACATCAAGCACTGCATGATTTTATTTAAACTCCTTTCATTGGAACTTATCAAATTAATTATTTATCAGAACTGGTGATATGTTATTAACTCAATGACATGGTTCACTTCAATTGTACATCTTAGGTACAGTAATTTTCTCTCCAGCGAAGTTCTAAATTATACACAAATCCAACTCAGTGGTAGGTAGAAGTGTGTGCGCACGAACACATATGAGCATGAATATGGAGAATGGAAAACATCCTCTGGTATTGATTCTCAGAAGCCATCTACCATTTTTTTTTTTAAAGCTTTTTTTTTCTTTTAGAGTCTCACAAACTTAAGAGATCACCAAGCAGGTTAGCTGGACACAAGTGCATACTACTATGTTTGGTTATATGTGGGTTCTAAAGGTCAAACTGGAGGTCTTGCACTAGCTTGCTGACTGATTTAGCTATCACTCCAGCAACGAAGAAAAATTAAAAACAACAACCAACAAAAAATAAACAAAAAAAAAAAAATGAAAAACAGAAAGAAGAAATGAAATGCCCTGGGAACTAAAAGGAGGAAGACAAAGGAAAGCAAAGTCAGAGCCAGGGTTAAAAAGACCCTTAGTATCAAGCAGCAGGGTTGGTTCTTCACCTCAATAGAGAGAATGGAGTCTGGGTGGTTCTGATGCAGGAAGACAGCTGTGTTCAGGAAGATTAGTCTATCAGGAAGGTAATGACTATAGTTATCTCAGTGAGAAGGACTGAGGTGTGGCAGAGAGAATATCAAGAACAGATAGATGCAGGGCATGTTTCAATGCTGGGGTGGGTACAGGTATAGCTCAGTGGTGTTTTGTGTTTTCATTTTATCCAGTGGTCTTTTTATTACTGAGTTGTAATTTAGGTATCTTAGAGTAATTTCTTTTATTAAGTATATTACACAAGTTTTTTCTTTTTTCCTTGACTATGGTTTTCTTTACTCATTTCCTTCCTTTCCTTGTTTCTTTCTTTCTTTTTGTTTGTTTGTTTGTTTGTTTTTTATTTCCAGACAGGGTCTCACTCTAAGAAGGCCCTATTGGCCTGGAACTTATGTAGCCCAGGCTGGCCTCAAACTTGTGGCAATCCCCTTGTGACTACCTCCCCACTGCTGAGGTTACAGATATGCACTAACCATATCTGGCCCTTTTCTTTTTTCTCTATCTGAAACAGAGCCTTCCTATTTAACCCAGGCTGGCCTCAAACTTGTGTTGATACTCTGCCTGCCTCATCCACCTAAGGCCTGAAATTTCAATTGTGTACTGCTACGCCTGACTTTCTCCATTTCCTTTTTTTCTTTTTTCTTTTTCCACTGAGACAGGGTTTCTCTGTGTATTCCTGGCTCTTCTGAAACTTACTCTATAGACCAGGCAGGTCTAGAATTCAGAGATCCACTTGCCTTTGCCTCCTGAGTGCTGGGATTAGAGGTGTGTGCCAACACCAACAGCTTCCATTCATTTTCTTCATGTTCCTTAAAGGTAGATCTTAAATTTTTGATGCTGCCAATTACTCACTGTTCCTAAACAATTCCTTATGGATCTGGCCATCTCTACACATTCTCATACTGCATTTTTAAAAGCTCTAAGGACAAGTCTCATGCATAGCCAAGATCCAGAGTTGTTGGCATGGGTTCTCTTTGCCTGGGTGCAACTAGAACACAGTAACACTTACTGGTGCTAAAGGCAAACTTTGCTTGGGCAGAGGTAGACCACAGTATGTCTGTCAAGCAGGTTCTTCTAGAAGCAACAGGCCTAAGAACTGCTGAGGCAGAAATACCCCTGGAAATGGCACTCACATGCTGAGCAACCTGGAAAGAGAAATGCTTTCTATTAGGAAGACTTTTTGGAAGGGTGACTAAAGTCTGACCTTGCTGCTGTGGCTCTTTGTCAATGGTGGCCTTAGCTGTTCATTCCCCCTGTGAACCAAATACCAAATCAAATTAAAAGCACATTTTCTTTTTCCTTCTTCCTCCTTAAAGACTGCAAGGCCGAGGGAATCGTAAGAACACAGCCTCAAGAATAAAAATCTCCAGATGACTCTAAAAATTCAGTAAGGCTAGGCCAGGCTGAGAAGTTAGTTAAGCGACCCCCCCTTCCCCGCCCCCTCCATATCTGGTGCACACGCGGCCATATCAAGGTTTTTCTCAGAAAAGGTCCTTTCCAGGCTCTTAATCAAGCAAAAAAAAATAGGGGAAAGTTCATGCCCTGGGAGAGTTTGGCCAGTGATCAAGGGAAGTGTTGGCTCAAGTTGGATGCCCAGCATGGCTAGGGGAGAAGGTAGGTACTGCCTTGAGGCTGATGGCGACGAGAAAAAGAGAAGATGGTTCGCAAGAGGATAGCAGCCTGCAGCCACCAGAGAACAGCAGTTACAGGACAGAGTCCAGCCTGAAGTGGAAGTAGAAAGCGGCTCCTGTTACTGTAGCACTTTGTTCACACTCAGATTTAAGTGTGAGCCCACAGCCACGTCAAAATGTGGCATCACTCCTTCCATGGTAAAGAAAGGAAAGCAAACTGAGGTTCAGAAATGAGAAGTTAAGCCAGGAGTTGGTGCAGCACACCTTTGATCCCAGCACTCGGGAGGCAGAGGAATGCGGATCTCTATGAGTTCGTGGTCTACAAAGCGAGTTGTAGGACAGTCAGGGAGAGCTACACAGATAAGCTTGGGGAGGGAGAGAAAGGGAGAAGTCACTTGCCCAAGGTCATATTTAGTGACAGACCCTAGAACACGGGACCCAATATGTTGGCCTACAAAGCCAGACCTGGGTGCTTTAGTGAGTGAAGAAGCAGCAAAGGGACCCTCAACTCGGAAAACCGTGCCTGCCGCACACACAGCTCATCCAGAATCAGTGAGCGGGCCCGGGGGGGGGGGGGGGGGGGGGGAGCGCACCACCCGCTGGAACTAGGGGGACAAGCTGTTCTGCGCAGGCGCAAGGGCCTCGCGGGCCTCAGGAGGCCTCTCGGTACGCGAGGTGAGTGTAGTAGCCAGTAGACCCAAGAGGGCGCGATCCGGTCCAGGAAGAAGGTCCCAGAGTCGCAGCTGTGTCATGCATCTGCCCAGCTGGCAGCCACTCACCGAGGACCAGAGCAACCTTCCCGCAGCAGCCGCCATCTTCAACGCGGGAGGAAAGGTAGCCGGAAAAGCCTGCAAGCAGCGGTCCACGAAGGGTGTGTGTCTTCTACGTAGGGCGTGGTTTCTGAGCGGGGCTTCCCGTCTGGGGGGGGCGTGGCCCCGGTGGGCGTGGTTGGGTTTACAGGGTGGGGCTGAGGCGGGAGGGGTGTGGCTTACGAGAAGAGGTTGAGTGAACTGGCTTAAAGTAGAAGGCTGAGAAGGACGCCTTCCTGCTCAGGGCGACATTCCCTCTTGGCCTCTTGAGTGGCTGAATGCTTGTTTTCCTATTTGTTGTACCAACCTATAAAGACCTAATGAAAGTTATCAAGTAGATACTTATTTCCCCATTTCCTGTTGATTTTGTTTTCTTAACTTTGTGTGGTGGAAACCTTCTGTCTGTGAGAAAATCCAGTTCCCTTTCTACTTCAGGTAGAATCTTCTGGCTTCTGCATTAAATGGAACCAATTTAGTTGTTTGAGTTCTATAATAAGCTAAGTGACTTAGAGACATCAAAGCTTACTGTGCTTGTAAACCTTTGGGATTGTGTGGGGGCTTCCATTTTGGCCTCTCAAAACTGGGATAATTGGGACACATTTTAAATCAATTTATTTGTTAATCGATACTGAGTGGAGGGCATGGTTTTGAAGCTGCACATCAAACACAGAATAAAATTCATATGGTATTTACAGTAAATGCCATCTCTAAGCTGGTATTTTCCAAGCACTGTTCTGTTATTAATTTAGTTTTTCAAATCTACGTATCATCTAAATAATATTTAATATTTTCTTTAAACTAGCTCACTTTATTAAAAGACACAAATGATCTCCCCCCCCTTTTTTTTTTAAAGATTTATTTATTTATTATGTATACAACATGTATGACTGCAGGCCAGAAGAGGGCACCAGATCTCATTACAGATGGTTGTGAGCCACCATGTGGTTGCTGGGAATTGAACTCAGGACCTCTGGAAGAGCAGTCAGTGCTCTTAACCTCTGAGCCATCTCTCCAGCCCCCACAAATGATCTTATTTGACAAGAAATGTTAAACAGGAAAAACTTATAACAGTATAAATAGAAAATAATTAATAATAAACATACTAAAGCAAAATACTGCCAAAGTTCTAGCTAGATACAGTTACCTGTTGAAAGTCTGAATTTTGTTAAAAAGAGAGAGAGGTGGTCAGAGGCATTCTCTTCTAGCCTCACAGAAAGCCTTCTGATTTGTTGTGGCCAGAGGACTGAAAGAGAATTCAGAAACACTTTTAACTTTCTCATGTTGAGATTTTATGTTATTATTTATATATTTTGCTCCTCACTGTTCCAGAAGTATATTTCATAAAGCAGTCCATGCACTCTTAGGTGCTACCCAGGTATCTGCTTTGTTCTTTAAAACAAAACAAAACAAAATAAAAAAACAAAAACAAAAACAAGCAAAGAAGCAAAACAAAACAAAAAACTGCCTTAGACCTAAAGAAACAAATCATCTCAATCAGTTTCCCACAGCACCTGACTTGCACTTAACTGGTACCCAGTGTGTGTGTTTAGCAAGATCAAAATGAAAGCGATCATAGAATACTGGTGCTCAAATCTGTGATGGAATATAAATCAGACATAAAAAAGAAATGAAACCTGAGTTTGATGGCTCATACTTGTAATTTCAGCACCTGGGAGGTTGAGACAGGAAGATGGCCAAGAGTTCAGGCCAGCCTTTGCTACAGAGTGAGACTCACTATCACATAAGAAAAAACAAAAACAAAAACAAAAAAAACCCTCTCAGGTGTGATAGCACAGGTCATTAATCCCAGTATGTGGATATCTGTGAGTTCAAAACTCAAAACTGTCTGGTCTACAAAGAGAGTTCTAGGCCAGCCAGGGCTGCATAATGAGACCTTGTCTCAAAAAAAAAAAAAAAAAAAAGACATTGAAAGATACCATCATGTGAATGAGCCTTGAAACCCCCATGTGGGGTCTGGAACAATGGAAGGAGAGAATTAATTCCATAAAGTTGTTCTCTGACCTCTACACATGTACTGTAACATGTACATCCACCCACTTACACATTGTATACTCCTAATAATGTTGATGATGGCAATGTATTTTTTTTAATTATATAATTGTCAGATGCTAAGAGGATCTGGAAGACATGAAGACTAACAGTACAAGCTTTTAATTTTTTTTTATGACTGCCTTGGGGGCCAGCCCTGAGCAGCACAGGGCTCAGAGGGACCCACAGAGTCAGCACGGCATGTACTCATGTACTAGACTAGGGGGTTAAGGGAAAAAGACACTCACACTCTCTTGATGGTTTCCTTCTTTGTTCTTCTGTATTCTTTCTACGGTATACTTTTTTCTACAGCTTATTGTAGTGGGTAGCTTTGATCTGGAAGTTCCAAGCCCCATTGAGACTTTGGCAACTGTCGCGCCTACTAGGCGGGGCCAGGGGAGGCGCCTGGAGACCCGAGAGCTGGATGGGCCAGCACTCTCTCTGTTCCGGGACCCTGAATGGTAGAGGTGGACGGAGCAGAGCTCCAGAGAACACCGCTGGACTGCGATACACCTTCCCCAGACCCCACGACCTACCTATCCCTTAATTTGTAAGTTACACCATTAAATAAATATCCTTTTAACTACATGGAGTGGCCACATAGAGTGCTGGCCCATCCAGATCTCGGGTCTCCAGGCACCTCCCATGGCCCCGCCTCATAGGCGTGACAGTTGTCAGAGTCTCAATGGGGGTTGGTACTTCCAGATCAAAGCTGGAATGGCTACCCACTACAGCTTATATACCCCCAACAAAGTTTTTCAGGCAATATAGGAATTACATGGTTACATTCTGTTCTTCAAGTGAATGATTACAACGAATACAAAACAAACAGTAAAAAACATGTTTTCCATAACCCTTACATGATTAAACATTTTGTGTATTACATGTGAAAAACAAATTATCCTAAGAATCCACGTACATTCATAATAACAAACAACTTGTTATTGATTAACTGTGTAGACAAGCAAGATATTCTTCTCAGTCAGGTCTTTTACTGGCAGGCTGCATTTTGCAGTCATAAAGAAAGGGTCAATTAGGCGGGCGGTGGTGGTGCATGCCTTTAATCCCAGCACTTGGGAGGCAGAGCCAGGCGGATCTCTGTGAGTTTGAGGCCAGCCTGGGCTACCAAGTGAGTCCCAGGAAAGGCGCAAAGCTACACAGAGAAACCCTGTCTTGAAAAATCAAAAAAAAAAAAAAAAAGAAAGGGTCAATTACTTCATCACTTATCTTGAAAGGTAATCTTATAAGGAATCTTAGAGGAGATCATAAACCTAAACTTTTATATGTGAAAAAGAAACAGTCAGCTCTACTTTAAGTCTTTAGGGTGCATACCCACTCATCAATAGTTTTTATATCAGGAGACTGAGGACAGAATTGGGTATAAGGAATTAATCACATTAGATCACCAACCAACGCTAGTAAGGAAAGTATGTCAGCTAGTAACAATTGGGTTGCTTTGTATTTTTCACTTTAGCTATGTGTCCTTGTGAACTTTAGATTGCTTTTTGGGGGTTTTCATCTGAAAGCTATTATCAAAACATCTAATACAACCTGATGTGGTGGTATTGTGTTCCCCAAAATATTGTGACCCTAATAAATTTATCTAGGGTCAGAGACAGAACAGCCACTAGATACAAAGGCTAGAAAATGGTGGCACTCACACCTTTAATCCTAGCACTCCAGAGGTAGAAATCCCTCTGGATCTCTGTGAGTTCAAAGCCACATTGGAAACAGCCAGGCATGGTGACTCACGCCTTTAATGCCAGAAAGTGAGCCTTTAATCCCAGGGAGTGGTGGTAGAAAGCAGAAAGGTATATAAGGCGTGAGGACCAGAAACTAGAAGCATTTGGCCTGGTTAAGCATTTGGCCTGGTTAAGCTTTCAGGCTTCTAGCAGAGTTCAGCTGGGACCCATTCTGGATGAGGGCTCAGAGGCCTCCATTCTGAGGAAACAAGACCAGCTGAGGATCTGGCGAGGTGAGGTAGCTGTGGCTTGTTCTGTCTCTCTGATCCTCCAGCATTTCATCCCAATAACTGGCCTCAGATTTGATTTTATTAATAAGAACTTTCAAGATTCATGCTACAACCTGAAGTTATTATAAGGCTTTGTTTCAGCTAATGATGTACTCTAAAACCTGTCAACACATCTTCCAACATTAAAGTTAAAAATATTTAAGCTAGCTGGGCTACAGGGACTCAATTGTTTTTCTTAATCGTTAACCTAAGCCACAGTCTCTATGGCTCCTCAATAGAAACTCATGTGTTTTAGCTGTGTGACACTTCCTTGTTTTGTTTTTTTATCATCAAAACTCTATTTAAAGTAACATTATTATTATTAATTAGATAGTACAGCTTAGGAAGAAATAATCTTCATAATAGTCTACAGGTAAAAATGCTCAGTAGAATAGGGTGTTTCCATGAGATAAACACACTACTGTAGCACGAATCCTATTTCGTCTGAATAATAAAAACCCAGAGCCAGATATTGGGGTAAATGCTGAAAGATCAGAGAGACAAGGGAGCAAACCACAGCCACCTCTTACCTCGCCAGCTCCTTAGCCTGAAAGGGGTGACCTTCTGTCTCCTCTCACCTTATATTCCCCTCTCCACCCAGTCTCCACCTCCTTAGTGCTGGGATTAAAGGTGTATACCACCCAAGTACTGGGATCAAAGGCATGAAATCCCAAGTGCTAGGATCAAAGGTGCATGCCACCACCGCCTGACTTTTTTGGTTAACTAGTGGCTAGCTCCACACTCTGATCTCCAAGCAAGCTTTATTTGTTAGAGCACAAACTAAATATCACCACATTTCCCCTTTTTGTCTAAAATTTAAAAAAGGTTATAACTAATATAAGAAAAACTATATACAATAAGTACAATAACTGTATACAATATGTACAGGCAACAAATACACCAACAATGTCTAGTTCATTAACAATTGACAAATTTAGAGAAAATACTCCATATCTATCCTATCTTGGTGTCCAAAAGGTTGTATCTAATTCACTTTCTATTCTAACTTGCATTACTAATATTATCTTTTAATGCCTCTCAATGTTATATATTTTACA